TGTGGTGACTGAACTGCTTTGCAGCCTCTGGAAGTATGTGTCTTTCATGAGGGACTAATACTATTTGACCCATAATATTCTTAACTCCTGTTACTGTAAAATTATCGGAACACTTTATAATATTGCAACTTTTGTTTGCTTTTCATTTCTCACAGAAAGGAATATTTTGCATTGCTCTGATTATTCAACCACAAAATCTAAGTAATGTTTTCCTTAGGCATGAAAGCATGTTGCATTCTTCGGCAAAAGTTGATTTGAGCAATAGAAATAGAGAATATTGATCTTCATGTATGTTATATCAACGAAGCTGTACTTATTTTATGTGTCTTATTAGCCCAGGGGAATTGATTAAATAAACTAAGAGTACCAAAGAGAGACATCATTAACAGATACAGATGAATCATTGGCACTTATCCTTTAATCAATATTTATAGGACAGTATAACCACTAATATAAATTAGGCAAGTATATAAACAGGTCACATATGGTCCATAATGTTTGATTTAGAATTTCTTCTATGACTAAATGACTCCAGGTTTTTCCTCTCAGGATTTGCGAACTTTTCTTTAGTAGAGTTTGTATAGTTATATCTCTTGAATTTTGGCAAACCAAGAACAATTTTTTTGCTATATACAATGAGCTTGTAGCAAACACTGCTTTGGTTTTCCAGTATTCTGAAGTGAGCAGTATTAAAGACCTATGGAGAACTTTATCCCCTGTCAATCATTTCAGTTCAGATAATTTTTCTATGCCTGACATTGAATGTCCTAGTAATATTTGCATTTATTGCCTTGGCATTGCTGTCATGTATCATTTACTTTTACAAATTTGTTCCCTGTAGCTGTACATATGACACTGGAAGAATGGTTATAAACTAAGACAGTAAATGTTTTAAAATCTGGTGTCACATAACTTGTAACTTATTTCTAATTTCTTTACATTGACAGATATGAATTTTGTTACTAGGAAAATATATTTTCTTCTTTTCAAATTTTTAATTTTTATGAGCATGTATTTGCCATCCACAGTGATCACATTCATCATAAGGAATTTGTACCTCTACATAATTCCTGCTTAATTCTTGTCTTAATTCCTGCTTTCCCTCCCACCTCCTGTCCCTTCAACACTTCTCCCAGTCCACATTTACAAAAGCTTTGTTTCCCATTGTTCCTTCCATTCACTGCTTTTTAAAATCCTTTTCCCACCTCCCCTCCCTAATGCCCCCTCCCTTGTTCCCTTTAGCACTTGAACAGGTTCTTCCCACTTCCCAGCGTATAGCTCTGTTGTCCTCCCTAATTATGCCCTGGGTTATGCACACAAGAGAAACAATGCGCTATTTAAACTTGGGCGTCTGCTTTATTTCACTTAAAAGTAT